TCTGTTTTTGTTTCATTTATATATATATAAATGAAACAAAAACAGATGAGCAGGTGACCAAATTTACAACAGTAGTTTATAATTTGGAAGATGTGTAAATAGAAGCTCTGATACAGGACAAAAAGCAAAGGAGGAAGGCAGGAGAGGGAAGACGAGGCATCCGTCTTGATCGAGGGCAAGTAAACCGTGTTCTTTGAGGAATATGCTCCTCAAATGAAGCTCTAGGACCAGAACTCTTTTTTTCTTCCATAATGAAAAACATTATTGTTCTTTTATGTGTGTTAGGCAACATGCTAATTGACCAACCTGTAACCTCTAACAGCATATGAGACATCTACGATTTTAAATCTTGACTTATTTGAACACAAATCTAACTAAACGTTTAAGAAACGCTGTATAAAAGGAAGTGAGCGTATTCCTCACCTGTCGTTGACGAACGTCCAAGCCATTTGCAACACCTTGCACACTTTATTCTTCTCCCCTACAACAACAAGACAAAGCGACCCTCTGCTCTTTGTTTCTATGCATGGGAGTACTTGTTGTGTTGCTGTGTGTTTGTCAGCTCTCACCTTTGAGCTGCTTGACGTAGCGCAGCAGGAACATGTAGGGGTGCTCCACCTGCAGGTCAAATTTAATGGTCTGGAGCAAAATCCTCTCCAGCACCATCACCTCCTCCTGTGAACACCAGCAGGCGTTATTTACAGCCTCGAACCCAATTCATCGCAAGAACACACGACAAAATGTTGACGTTCTTTAATCGCAGTTTGTGAGACACTAAATGAAACATTTGAAGACACCAACAACTAAAATGTACCGGAAAAACAAACGGCAGATTTTTTGTTTGGATTCTTTTTACTTCTCAGATCATTTCCACTAAAACTAAATAAAATTACTTTAATAAGCCACTTTTTATTTAAAAGAAAAACAACTAATCTCTGTTTTATTTTATTCGTTGAAGACCTGGACTGATTAAATAAATCTAATTAAATGTGCATGTGCACTAGAGCTGGACAATAATCCGATATTGATATATCTCACGATATACTTTTATTTAATAACGATGATATGAGTTTTAAGCACATTTTTGATATTTCAATAGGATTACAGAGTTTCACTGATGCATTTCTTTTTCTGTTCGGGTTGAAGAGGCCACTTCAGTTTCAACCTGAACAGAAAAAGGTGCGACACAACTACGTAAGTGCGTGGTGACGTAGATGTTACGCAGAGCCCAAGTCCAGAAGGCGTTAGCGGTAGCAGGCTAAGCTAGGCTAATCTCCAACACGCATTAAGTATTCACTTCAAAATGAGTTCCCATGATCGTCAGAATGTGACTGAACAAGGTTTCACAAGCGAAGAGAACAAAGATGACTTCACTGATGAGAGGAAAGACTCATTAGTCGGTGTGGAAGTGGTTCATCTTTCTAAGATCTGATAGGTAGGTATAGGCATAGGTTATATTGTTGTTTAAAGTTAAAATTATTAATATATGCCATTATTGATGAGAAGATGACATGGAAAAATAAAGTAAAAGTTTGTGAATGACAAAGCTTTATATATATTGCGTAATGTAATGATTGTTCCTTATTTAATCTATTGAAGTTTGGGGGAAAGCATGCAAAACAATTACAAACCCTATTTTTATTTTACAAAAAAAGCTAAGAATTATTAGTAGGAAGTGCTATGGTCACCCAACAAATATATTATTTCATCATTCATTCATTCAAACTTTATCAGCTGAAATTATTAAAATTTTATGATTCAGATGAATATGTTTTAAAGTTCATAAAAATATTATCCCCAAATATTAAATTAAAATGTGTTTACAAAGAGAGTCATTATAACCTTAAGGGAATGGAAATGTTTGTAAAACCTCCATTTAGAACCAGTGTGAAGGAGCTGTGTTGTAATTCAGGGATTAGGATTATGGAATAGTCTCAATATCACCATAAACATTTCTACAACAATTGATATGTTTAAAAAGATGATTAAGTTAAAGTTGTTGGGAAAGAATGAGACCATGTGAAGAATGTCTGATGATTTTGGTTTTCGCTTTGGGGCTTGTTCAAACGTAGGTTGTTGTTTGTTGTTTTATATATATATATATATATATATATATATATATATATATATATATATTTAATAAGGGGCAGATATCTTCTTTCTGCACCTTAATGTTTTTTTTTCTTTTTGATGAATTTGTTTCGTTTCTCTTAATACATTTAAAATAACTAGACAAAGTTGAGAGTTTTATGTTTAGTTTTACGGTGATTTCAAATTTTTTTGAAGGCTCTAAAAGTTTTCTGAGGCTTTTATATTGTTTATATCGATATCGAATTACATCGTTATCGAGCAAAATTAAGAAATATATCGTGATAAAAGTTTTGGCCATATCGTCCAGCCCTAATGTGTACTGGTTTTTTGTTGTTGTTTTCCTCAAACCAAATTCATGATTTATTAAAACATTAAGTCACAGCATCTTCGTCTTCTCTGTTAGCTTCCAGCTTTGGTGGAACATTACACACGCTCTCCCTTCTTTCTAACGCCACATCTTAAAAAATGTTAGATGATTTTTGGCTCCCACATAAAGCTTTTGGGCCCATCGTGTATTGTGTTACTTCAAAAGGAGAAAAACGTTCAAAGCAACAAATCTAAATCAAAGGAAGTGTACCTTTGGATCATCGCCGAACTGAGCAAACTGCACATCATTCAGTAAGCTCCGAGCTGTTTTGATGATATCTTTACACTTCTTTGGAGTTTCCTCCACTTTTCCAGCCAAGAACAGGCAACAAGCCCCTGTCACCTGTTGAAACACAAACCCCAACATTAGTCCACCTGGATTTAGAAAGACAGGGTAAAAATGGACTCAACTTACGTATCTTGGGAACTGCTTGAAGGAGTGGAACATGTAGAAGCGATGAAAGTAGATGATGCCGGTTGCAAGCGTGTCATAATGTCTGCTGACCGTCAAGGATTCACACGTTTATCAGACAGGATCAAAGAAAGCTTCGCTCAGCTGGTGCCTTCTGCAGGGGTCGCCACGTCCAGTAAACTCTCACTGAACATTTGGCGTCATACACGGGATGTCCTCCATGATGCAACCTCAGGATTACAAGACCACAGCACTGACCGCAGAGCTACCGTATCAAACATGACGCTCTGAGAGAAATGCTGAGAAAGACCTTTCAGTCATAGTTATTATAGAAGATAATTCATCACTGCACCACATAAACTGCTCACATTCTTGTCTTCAGAAAACAAGTGTTATTGCATTTTCTGTAAAATAAATAAATAAAACACTAAAAAGAACAATTCACATCATTATAGTAAATAAGTTCTGAATAGTTGGGTCTAATTTAGTGACATTTCTTGCATTTAATCAAGAAAAGCTGGAACAAGTGGCACCAGTTCACCTGCAAAGTCTTGTCCTTACATTCAAAAGACAAACCACTCAAGGATACAAGCCCAGACGGGTTCCCACGTCGAATATGAAGCGGGCTCCCTCCCTCCGATACCGAGCCTCTGTGCCAGGGTCCAGGCCCTCCGACTGCGAGGGGGTATGGGCTAGATCCTTCTTATCCCAGTACCAGCATGGCTTGATGTGGTCCAGAATAGTCTGGCTGGTCTCCTTGGAGTCCTTCATTGATTGTGGGGAGGAAGTGGATGGACCTGCTGCACTGGACTGCTTACAAACAGAGAGGGGGTCATTATTGATTATTATCATTTTTAGATCAGAGAAAAACAACTTCAACAGTGATGTGGTCAATCTGGGACACACTGGGCCCTCTTCCTTGTTGACAGTCTTGTCAAACTGGTTGAAAACAACAAAGTCCATGCTCAATAATCCAGGTATACAATCCAACATTTTCCAGTCAGGTCATCTGGACAGTTTCTTTTTTTTTTTTGACTGATGAAGCCTTCCGGATCGAAGGCGAAACGTTTTAGCACAAAAAAAAAAGAAAGTGTCCAGATGACCTGACTGAAAAATGTTGAATTTCAGAATAATGTTCCTTAATGACAATTGGGAAGACTTAAAATATCCCAAGGTTCACTCAAATCAAAACATTTTAACATTCTGGAGAAAACTCTGAGCTGTAAATAAAAAAAAACGTTCAATACAAAAACAGCTGGACTTTATTAGTAACAGAAGACTGGATGACTGAGAATCTTCACCAGCGCTCTGAGCTGTAAGGACAAGACTGTCAATATTTAATGCCAGTGATCTTCAAAGTTCAGGCCCTGCATTAAACACTGGTTTGATTCTGGATTTCACTGCACGGACTCAGGAACACGTTCATAATGTTGGGTCAAGCTTTATCGAGAACAACATAAATAAAAGAAGAAGCCACGTTTCAACACCATCCAGAAACACCACCATCTTCTCTGAGTCCAACATGTTTTAAACAGACTGAACGTGGGAAAATGTTTATGTGATCAATTAAATAATACAATTTTGGAAATCATGGACGCCAAGTCCTTTGTCCTACAGAAGAAATGGACCATATGGCCTGTTATCAGCACACAGTTCTAAAACCTGCCTCTCTGATGGTATGGGGGTGTATGAGTGCTTCTGAAATGAGCAGCTTACACAAAAGCACCTGCATCAATGCAAAACAGTATGAACAGGTTTTAGAGCAACTAATGCTCCCATCCAACAAAAACTCCAGCAAAGACGACCTAAAATCCTAGAATCCTCCATGAGACAACGAGACACCGTTCTTCAAACAGTCCAGCAGCTGGTCTCAGTTCCTAAACATCTACAGACAAAAGGGAGACGCTTTCACAGCTAACTTGTTTCTGTCTCAACTTTTTTTAAAATGCGTCTTCCTGCTGCCATAAAATTCAAAATGACCTTTTATTTCTCCTAAAAAATGGTACGTCTTATTTTAAACATTTGATATGTCCAATATGTTCCTTTTAGAATAACATATGGGCTGAGACTTGTTCATCAAATTCAGGTTTTAATTACATTTTACTAGACAGCATTTTAAAGATTTTTCAACACAAGTGTAATATAACCAAATATGTTTATTAATTTAAAGATTTAATTTAATGTCACTTTTAAACCATTACATATTAGCAGGAAGCGTTCAACCCACATATGCATTTGAAAAAGTTTACTATGTTTTAATGAACTGACTACTGTAAAAACAGGCCATTAACAAATGTAATTAATTTAATCTGCAAGACAAATAACTGCAAAATGTCTTAGTTACATTAGTAGATAAACATAGAAAGTAAACTGTGTCTCTCTAACACTTCTTAATGTGAAAATGAAACTTAGCCCACAGTAATATATATATATATATATATATATATATATATATGTGTGTGTGTGTGTATTGCAACTAATGAAAACTTAGCTAGGTGCTAATTGCTACAAGTTAGCTTAAACAACTAAATTAAAGAGTGGAGTATGTAGGAATTTATAAAGCACAAGATATGAAATGAGTTGGAGGAAACATACTGGTAAGTTTAATAAGATTTTTTTTTAAGAAGGAAAGAAAAAAATCATTCAGACAGATTTTTTCCGCCTAGCTCAGCTAAGCTAACATCGTTAGCGAACTAGAGGTACTCAGGTCTCAGTCCACAGAAGACTTTTCACAAACACTCCCGTTGTGTAATCAAACATAACACGTACCTTTATCATGTATGCCTCGAAAAGCAGCCACACAAAAGCGACACAAGTGAGAAAAATCCGCAACTAGTCACAGCAAATTGGCTAACAAATGTGTCTCCATTCTAAGGACACGGACATTTTGCAGTACGTCACTGACTACCGGCGAACGTGATGACGCACAAAACAGGACGTACGTGTGATCACGATGTTTTTTTTAACGTTTTTTTTTTCCTAAATCAAAAACAATACTACATCGGTTACCGTATTTTCATTATGTGAAAGGAAAATTAAAGAAGAAAAAAAAATAAGAAAAAAATTCACAAATTGGAATAAAGAATAATGAATTTAATAATGAATGTGTGTCAGTTATAGCTATAGCCACTAGAGGGCGACAAATACCTACTTTAGCTCCCTGTGCTGTTCTGGTTTAATTACTTTTTATGCAGTAAAACATGGACTTTTTCTGGAATTTACAATAAACTAAACTGTGAGACTGTTCTCGTGAGAATAAGTGTGTGCAGACATGTTTCATCTTAAAAAGACAAAAGGTTACCACTATTTATCTGTGCAGAAATAATGGCAGAAAAATGTTCTGTGAATAACAACAAAGTCCATGCTCAATAATCCAGGTGTACAATCCAACATTTTTCAGTCAGGTCATCTGGATAGTTTCTTTTTTTTTTTTGGCTTTTGATGAAGCTTCCGGACCGAATGCGAAACGTTTCAGCACAAAAAAAAAAAAAAAAAATAAAATAAATAAACTGTCCAGATGACCTGACTGAAAAAAGTTGCGTTCTGTGAATAATTAGTGACGAGTGTGATCGATGAAAATCTTTGCTGTTTGCTTTTTCTTACTGTCTGTTAAAAACAAAAATATTTTTTGCTTTGTCTTTTTTTTTATTGTTTGATCAATCCCAAACTAAATAAGCTAAAAGTAAATAAATAAGGTAATAATTATTGTTGATTAGTTGTGGAAGCCATCTTAATTTGGGTGGAGTTCAATAATTCAATGAATAATTTATAAAAGTTTCATAAAAATCCATTCAGTACTTCATGAGATATTTTGCTAACAGACATAGAGGGTTGAGTTTACTTTTAAACTAAGGACTTGCTTATTGAGTAACACTTGGAGTTTGTGTTGTGAACAAATCTCAACTACTACCACAACAAACTGTAGCATAATATCTGTAGCATTTACTGGATTATAGCCGTTTTATGTTTTCCAACGTCAGTCAGCTGTGGTGGCCATCTTTGATAGGATTAGCTTCAAAAGTTAATCAGCTGTAAAGGCGTATGAAATTATTATTTTCTGAAAGCTTCATTGAAATCCATCCATAGGTTCATGAGATATTTTGCTAACAGACAGATAGAGTTGTTTCCAAATGGCTCATGGCAAAATAAAAAAATACAAATTTTGTGCAATATGATGTTACTAAGTACTTCTGTTGAGAATCACTCTCAAATACTATAAAACCAAGCTTTAGGTCAATGTCTGTAAATTAATTGAACTATAGACATATTTGTGATTTTTACGGTTAGTAGTCACTGGTCGCCATCGTGAATTTGATTAACCCCAAATGTTAATCAGCTGTAGAGGTGCATCAAATGATTACTTTCTGCAAATTTCACTGAAATATGCCCAATGCTTCACGAGAAATTTTGCTAACAGACACTCACACGGAACGAGAAAAATATTATTGCCTATTTTTTCACTTATTGGCATTTTGTTTTACATAAATAGAGTAAATATTATAAATCCTGACTTTTTTTTTAAACAATAATTTATTTATTTATTAGACATTTGTAGTTGTCCTGTTGGAAACTGGCTGGTGTGTGTGTGTGTGTGTGTGTGTGTGTGTGTGTGTGTGTGAGTAGA